TGTCATAGAGGAATGGTACTGCGTGCATCCTCTTTCCATGCAATGAAGTTACGGCACTCCAGTAGCTAGGCTTTCACTCTATGAACTATTGAATATGGAATCTAGGAAAACCATTTACCTTTCACTGACATCCCAAAACACACAATGTGCAGGTCCTTCGTTAGGAGATCGAGATGATATCTTCAAATCAGAAAATAACATATTAAGCAACTCACTTTATGAACCCTTCTGAAATGGTCTCTTTAATGCTTAGAATACAGCATGCTGGACAAGGCGCATGGCGTATTAATAACGCTATTATTATCGTTAATTATGCTCTAAGCATTTCATTTTCATTTTCATCATCGACTCTACAACATATTCATGATACCTCATCATCATCTTCGATCAGTGGCAACATGCATGCAGTACTCCAACCATGCGTTTTTCCATCAGTATCAACATTCATAACGTTATTATGATAAACATCATCATCGTCAGCACCACCGAGCTCATTAGCATTGCTGCCGTGAATTTCATCAACAGCATCTCCATGTTGATGACCATCATCATYACTGTCATCATCAATAACGACTTCATCCTCATTAAAAGTTGTAKTTTATCTTTCGCTGAAATGAAGACATTTGCCAATAACCTATCTTATTAGCAGCTACGCTTTCTCCCTGATCRTGTATTAGACTTACAATAAGCGCTTATTCATGTTTCTTAGCGTGGATGTACCTCATGCATGTGCGTGCCTTCGTATTTCTTATTACCTCATGGAAGGCTGTAGAATTATGGTTACATTTTCTGGAAGAACACCCTCTGGTGGACTGGGGTCCAACGTACTGGAAATAACATCACTGTTTATCTTGGACTTTCTGCCAGCTTCTTTGAATATACTGAATGAAATGCAAAAATAAGGGATCGATAATAGAGTTAAATATTTCTGGTTCAGTTAACGCTCCTTWTTTCAATCATGCTGATTGTGCAAAAATCTTCAATTCGTAGACGTCATTCCATCTCTGATTTTCACATACATTTGTCTTTTTGTATTAGTTTATCACAAAGTAAGATTATATATGAAGGAAACTAGGACGAAGTTCTCATCCAGCTGAAAACCCAGAAAACAAAGTAAAAAGTAGAAACTCTACTAACAGTTGATAAAGGGTATATAGGGATCGATCAAACCCACAACCGTTTGCAAAACTAACATTGATATAACATGCAGTGCATTTAAAAAAGACTTACCTGTTGTTGCTTAAGCAAGYCCTAGATGACATATACGAGCTCATACCAAAATAAATAGCACTCACGACAATACGATCTATAAAAATCAAAAACTGTTATTAAAAAGAAAATTCCCAATAAGACATTGAATCGGTAACATTTGGCTAATGCCGATTCTTACCTTTATTGGCGAATAGTTTGGAAGGCAATGTAATAAATGTTCGCACTTTCGATATCGAGCTCGCAGTTTTAAAGCTTTCATCTCCTCTTGTTGGAAAATGGAAATCTTCTAGTTTAGTTTTTCTAGGGATTTTGAAGATGCTAAGGACTGAAGTGGAAAAAGGCGGTAAATTATTGAACAGCCGTAATGATATATAGTGTACMCTAAAAATTATAAGTTATATGTTAAATTTGTGTAAAACGATTAAATGTTAGCAACACAGCTGGCATATGCCTGTAGACAACCATTTTGGATAGACCTGAATACTAACGTCATTGACGTAAGGGTTTCATTTAATTACCGAAGTTGGTCCTGTTTATTGTGACAGAATTGACTGCTGAGTGGTTAAGATGATATCTTGCATATATTTTTGCAAAATATTCGAAGTATGACACTGCGGTCAAGATAGCATCTGTCTCACTTTGGTTTTTGTAGTACTGCGCTTCTGATCTTAAATTCTTCAGTAACACTTCTGTAATGTCTGCTACTTCCTACAAAYATAAAAAATAGCTTAGGTATGCTGAGGTTCCACAACAGCAGCAGAAGCAGCAGCTGCAGCTCCAACAACAACAACAGAATCAAAGCATAAACAACAACATCAACAGCAGCAGCAGCAGTGACACCATCAACAGCAACAACAGCAGCAAGAACAACAAMGACATCAAGCAGCAGCAGCGATACCAACATTACCATCTGCATGACACGAGTTTTTCATCAGTGGCTGCCTTTAATTAATTTAAATTTGTTACTTTAGTTACGTACCTCTAAAGATGTTGGGTCTTGTATTCCAAGTGAGCTCAGTTTCATCACATAAGCACGCACCTTTAATGTTAAACAAGCATAGTATATCTAGCAAAACACCATAGTACATCCAGCAAAACACACTGACTTTTTGGTATAAATGGTGATATAAATACCTTCTCATTCGAAAAYGATGTTTTGGGTTTCCAGTTGACATACTGGGTGGATTTCAGAACTTCTGTGAATACGGTTACATCAGCATTTGTGTGTTTGGTTGGAAAGGACGTCCCCTTGGTAGATGCGGTTGGTATGGTCGTCCTCTTGGTAGATGTGGTTGGTTTGGTACTTTTGGTCGGCATGGTACTTTTGGTTGGCTTGGTACTTTTGTTCGGCTTGGTACTTTTGGTCGGCTTGGTACTTTTGTTCGGCTTGGTACTTTTGGTACTCATGGTACTTTTGGTTGGCTTGGTACTTTTGGTCGGCTTGGTACTTTTGGTCGGCTTGGTACTTTTGGTCGGCTTGGTACTTTTGGTACTCATGGTACTTTTGGTTGGCTTGGTACTTTTGGTCGGCATGGTACTTTTGGTTGGCTTGGTACTTTTGGTTGGCATGGTACTTTTGGTCGGCTTGGTA